ATGATATCGGGTCCTGTTTCAATAACTCTGATTATCTGCTGTATGCCGATGATCTGAAACTGATTCGTAAAATCAATTGTGTCTCCGATTCGCGGTTACTTCAAGAAGATCTGTTTAATCTCGAAGTATGGTGCCAAAAAAATATGTTATCCCTCAATATAAAGAAATGCTTCCATATGACCCTCGCTAAAACATCTAAAATTTTTCTAACTAACTATTATATTTCAAATGTACAACTCGCTTCTGTTAATGACTTTGTTGATCTTGGTGTCGTTTTTGACTCTGGGTTCACCTTTGTTAATCACATATGCCATATTCTTCCGAAGGCTTACAGGAACCTAGCTTTTATGCGAAGGCATGCGAAGGATTTTAAGGATCCCTATACAAGGAAATCTCTCTTTAACTCTCTTGTTCGTTCAAAGCTTGAATATGCCTCGGTTATCTGGAGCCCTATATATAATTGCCACGCACTTCGTATCGAACGTGTCCAGAGAAAATTTATTCGGTTTGCCCTTCAGCCGCTTCGATTCTCTGACCCTCTTCCGCCCTATATAGCTCGTTGCAAGCTTATAGATTTAAACTCTCTTGAGTGTAGAAGACATGTCCATTCCCTTATGTTTGTTTATGACCTGATTTCTGGCGTCATTGATTGTCCGGAATTACTTGTGCATATCGGTTTCAATGTCCCGAGCAGAATATTGCGGTTTGTCCCGCCGTTTTATGTTATCCCTGCTAAAGCTAATTATTGGGCTCAATCCCCGATTTGGAGGGCTCTCACTGAACTTAATGCAATTTCAAAAAATTCAAATATTGAATTTTCTATTAGTAGGCAGTCTTTTAGAAGTTTAATTGAATCTGTGTACTCCTAGTGTAGTTCTTAATTTTTTACCTATTAATTTTATTCTAGTCAGTAAGATTCTTTGTAATCATAGACTCCTTAAACACTGAATTGAATTGAAAAGAGTTGAAGCTGATATTGTGGAAGCTATAAGGACGGCAGATACCGAAAAAAAGAAAACTGTCTTAGAATCGTTTAAGTCATGTAATGCGATTAAAACCGCAAATAAATGAAGCATTTTGATAAATGTATTTTTAATATGTAAAACATATACTATTTTAAGTCAATAATTTTTAGAAAACGATAAGCTTTTTTCAAAGCTCAATTTGGTATTCTATTGAAAATTTGTTTTATTAGGGTGTTTTTATATACTTTTCTTATGGCACCTACTGTAATGCAATATCTCAATAATTTTTTTTTTTAAATATATTTTTTTTTAAATAAAGGGTGACCTATTTAAAAAAATATATATATCTGAAATAATATTTTATAAAAACTATCGTTTAACACCAATACTAAAATATCTTCTACCCATTTAATCAGAAAGTGTACTCTTTTTGTTTTCTAAGTCCACATATGAGTCTATATCTCGGGTACCAAATGAGATACAAAAATTAAAAATTCATGGTTTAAATTTACGTGGTTTACACTATCTACACGCATTTTATGATCGTAACTTTGAAAACAAAAAAGTTACAGATTTTTGATCAGCAAATGCATCATATTGCCCATAGTGCACCGCACTAAAAACCCACACCTGCTCCGATTCCCTCGCTCCGTGGAACTACCGTTATGTATTATTCGCGGAGGGGTAGCGGCCTATTGCCTTTCAATGAAAACCTGCGTATTTGTTCCGCACTAAGCAATTTAGTTAAAATGGTGTTTGCCATATTGCAAACAACGGACCAGTTTTCGTCTGACTCAAGCATAGTATCCACTAGGTTTTCAACCGTAAGTGGCCTCTCCACCTTCATGCTCGAGTCATCCCTTCCGATTGCGAACCTCGGACAGACGAAAAAACAGTGTTCAGCGTCTTCAATAACGTCATTTGCACAGAAGGTGCAGTAATGATCGTATTCGTGTTTGAATTTATACAAGTAAGATTTAAAACAACCATGTCCCGTCAGTATTCACTGTGGTTTCAGCCACCTCTCTGGCCAAAATGTCAATAGGGCAGAGCCTAGATATTACATGCGCTGCTTCCTCCGACGTTGTTCGGAACGCGCTACACACTCTTACAGCGCAGAGTCGGTACAATGATCTTGTCTCTCGTGCGTATGAAGCTTTCTCGAGCGCAACTGACCAGATAGATACACCATAGAGGAGACTATTTACTTCGCACCACTCCTGCGTACAGCTGTCTGCTTTGTTGCCTAGGTCCCCCCGTGTTCACCATAAGTCTTGATAGAGCCGCTGCAACTTTTTCTGCTTTCTCTACTGCATATTCTACGTATGTCTTAAATGTCAGTCTAGCATCGAACATAATTCCTAGGTATTTAAGAGCAGCTTTTGAGACAATTACATGTCTCCCCACTCTAATGGTGACTGCTTCGCGCACTTTTATACTGCTTATTAGCACTGCCTCGGTTTTTTGTTGCGCTAATGGTAATGGCCGTTTTCTCATCTAACCTTTAGATTACCGGCCACTTTATCGTCTCGATATACCGGTTTTCGTTTTCTCATCAGCGCATTCATTTCTCACCCGATGCAACCTTTAAATATTTGTTCCCAACTTTAAATTTTGGTTTGGTTTTGGTTCATGAGTCAGATATATTAGATATTTCAATCAACGTTTTGGTTTTTGCTAACAGTTGCTCTTGCTCTATATTTGCTTATGTTGCATTGCCAACCTTTGAAATTTTATGACGAATGTAGTGAAGTTTCACTCTCGCGTTGCCGTAATTACGGTAATTACGGAATAACAAATTTATTTTTACCGGTAATATAAGAAAACGAAAATACTTTTCAAGTAAGGAACAATTTATCTGCCCTGTTAGTAAAGGCAACTTTACTGCTTTCATTAGAAAACGGCCCTAAGTCTAACAATATATTGTTATGCATCGTTTTATCGGCCGCTGTGGTGTAGTGGTAAGCAGTGTGCGCTTCCACTCATCAGCACCTGGGTTCAAGCCCTGGTCAAAGCAACATCGCAAAAAAAAATATAGAAAAAGGTTTTTTCTTAACAGTGGTCGTCCCTCGGCAGGCAATGGCAAACCTCCGAGTGTATTTCTGCCATGAAAAACAGCTTCTCATAAAAATACAATCGCCGTTCGGAGTCGGCGTAAAACTGTAGGTCCCTCCGCTTTGTGTGACAACATCAAGGCGCACGCCACAAGTCGGAGGAGAAGCTCGGCCAAACACTAGCATATGTGTAAGCGGCAATCTATTATATTATTATTATCGTTTTAAAGGTCTATAAATCCTCTTTTCAAAACTTGTTCGATTTTTAAAAGTCAAGCTGTTAATATATACATAAGTTAATATACATATGATGAGAATTAATACAGGAACATAAGATTAATGCACAAGGAGAATAACAATAACGCAGAAAAACAAAAAACAGCACTGGTTGTTTTGTTATTTTATTTGCACATTTTTTATAAAAATATTGTCCATACTAAAACAAAACCGAATTTCATTCCTGCACACATCACATTTCCAAATTTGGTGTAAAACTTTCATCAATACATATGTATATGTACATACATACAACCTACAATACAAGTATTTACTCGTACAGTGAATTTGGTTTCAGTTATTTAATACTAACTTTTAAAAATTTACCTGCCACAGCGTCATCTATTATCAAATAATTGAAGATAATCAAATAATTAAAAACAATCAAATAATTTAAAATAATCAAACAATAAAAAATAATCAAAAAATTACAAAAATTATTGGATTAATTTTGATTATTTGATTATTTTTAATTATTTGATTACTTTTAATTATATTATTATTTTTTTAATGGTAATTAATCATGACTATTTTTTATTATTTTTAATAATTAATTATTAATTGTTGCGTTATGTATGAAAGTTAAAATAATCATTAAAATTAAATCATCATATAAATTTAATTGTAAAAAAAATATGATACTAATTGTAATCAAAATAACAGCTCTGATGGCTGCGAAGTTAGTGCGCATTAGGAATGTTAATCCCGGGATCCCGGGGTCGTAGGATCCCGGTCTTTTCAAGTCCCGAAAATCCCGGGATTATTTGCCTAGGGACGGGTAGGTATTGAAAATACGCTTTTATAATTTTATCATTGAATATCCTAAGAATTTTGCAATTCTTACTTTTGAAAAAATTATATGTTAAGGACTAACTTTATTAGCTTAAAAAATTAAATAGATTAAAGGGGCATTTTCAATTCCTATTTGTCGTTGTGAACCCAAAAAAATTATTTCATTTGGTACCCATATTTGGTTTTACATTGCACTGAATTTTTTAAATAAATATTGGAATTAATCATATCTTTGAAATTATAGACTTTAAAAAAAAAATCATGACGTCAGAGAAATGCCCATTTATATGCAGTTAATTATATGTAATACGAGGTAGACTTTTATAAAGAAATGTAAATTTTGAATAAACAAAAGGAATATAGACCAAACTGGTTGAATTAAGGCGCTTCATTTATTTCTGTCACTAGTATTATGAACTTCTTTCAACCAGAAAGACTTAATTTTTTTGCATCGAGCTTTTTTCGACATACCTTAAATTACTTTATCATATATGAGCACGCCAAAGTTTTATTAAATGCATATAAATTTAATTACTGTCTTTCGTTTTGTTACTTGTGAAATAATTTTCACTTTAAATAAAAAAGTACGTTCCAAACCCATTTACTTATTATTTATTATATGGTAGGAGAGCTTCTCAAACCATATTGATGCAATTTTTTCATCTTAAGTTGTTGAAAAATAATAAATATCTAAGTCCCGGGACTGATCCCGGGATCCCGGGATTGAACCAACGACATCCCGAAAATCCCGGGATCGTAAAAATCCAAAAAATTAACATCCCTACTGCGCATACATCTGATAGGAGCCGGAGGAGTATACAAAAATTTACATTTAAAAAGTATCCATTGTTTTAGTTTAATTTTGTAAGTAATACAATAGTGCTTTTTTCTTCTTTATTACATAATATTTCAGATCACCCCCAAAGCAGAAAATACTCTGGATCAAGAGGCAGGACCTAGTACTTCAAAGCAAACAATTATCGTTTCAAGAGCAGCTGAAGACACCCCACTCCTCGGTAATATACGTTCATAGCAGGAAGAACATTGGATATAAGTATAAATTAAGAATAGAACTACTTTAAATGGTTTTTTTTTCAATTCAATTACAATGTTCTGATGTAGATTATGTAAATACAGTTTATATAAGTATTTAAACCACTTTTGTTTTTCTGTATTTTTAAAAGCAGTAAAGGTTATATTTTTAATAAATAAATAAATACAAATCAAATAAATTTAGTATGAAAACCCCAGGTGCTGTAGTCATATATTTCACCAAAACGGGCCAACATCTTGCCTTCCTTATATCAAATTCAATGGCATGACCGTCAAATAAGTAAAAAAAAAATTTAATAATCTGCCTTAACCTGAGTTTCACCCGAAAAAAATTCGTCCGCAAATTTTTCATCCGCCCATAGTAAATACATGGAAACGAAAAGTGAAAAGTGAACAGGTTCGGGGAAAATTAAACTCATGATAAGACTGATTATTAACGAGAAGAAATTTTTGGCGAGATTTGTCGAAAAATGAAGTGATTTCGACAATTTTCTCTTTGCGACTGCGATTGAAACGTCAAATGTATAACATAATCAGCCTTGTCAAGAGTTGCATTTTCCCCGAACCGGTTCACATTTTAACCGACTTCCAAAAAAGGAGGAGGTTATCAGTTCGTCGGAATATTTTTTTTTTTTTTTATGTATGTTACCGCATAACTTTGAATCACGTCAACCGATTTCGATAATTCTTTTTGCATCGGAAAGGTAGTGTCTTAGAGGTGGTCCCATACTAATCCGATCATTGGATCATGAAATATATATATATATATATATATTTATATAAGAATTGAAGTCGGTTTTGTTTTTTGCTTAAAAATTACTTGTCACTTTTGGTTTCCATGTATTTACTATTGGCGGAATAAAATTTTCGGGTGAACTTGTTTTCGGGCGAAACTCAGGATAAGGCAGAATATTTATATAAAAAAAAATCTGCCTTATCATGAGTTTAATTTTCCCCGAACCGGTTCACTTTTCACTTTTGTTTTCTATGTATTTACTGTGGGCGGATGAACAATTTTCGGGTGATTTTTTTCGGGCGAAACTCAGGATGAGGCAGAATGATTTGTTTGCATATTTTTATGGTTTTTAGCATAGTCTGCTGTAAATAGAGCTACAATTGGTTGTTACTTCTACCTTGCTGAATACCATGATGAAATTATAAACAGGTGAAGTAATAAAACCACTTTCTCGCTTTATTTTCTTAATTTTCTTGACAGTCGGCTATCTTATAGACATTTCTTCAAGCCAATTTTAAAAAAGATAGTGTCAAATATTTCTTCTCGCTCTTATTACCACACCTGGTATAATTTCACCAAGGCTCAACACCACAATAACAAAAATTAACGGCCATATTTTTGACACTCCTAATATGTCGGAATAAGGCGGAATAACAATATTCACGGGATAGAGGAGAATTAGTCAGAATAAGTCTATTATTGTCGCATAGAATACAACTTAATAAGGTGTTATAAGAAAGTCATAATAGTAATTCTGGGGAATAACTACTCGGTCTGAATCGGGCGAATAAGATAGATATTTCATGTTATGGCCTATTTCCACCAAACGCTTAATTGCAGTTACACTGGCAATCGAAAGTGAGTGCATGGTGTATCTTGTTTGATATTTGCAATGTTTTTTAATTTAATTTTTTTAATAAAAATATGGTTCCTACTTAGATCGAAACCACATAAGTCAAACTTTCAAACTTTATACAAAACGTAGAAAAATTCAACATATTTTCATCTAAATTTTGAACTTTTTAATCTGAATTTTTAGAAAAATTGTAGGTACGCAGATAGATCGGTTATGTAATTCTAATGAAACAAGTGAAAGTTTTAAGCTGCTAAAAATCGCGTTGATTTTTAATGAATTTCCGATGGATTTTGCGGTTTTATAGCGTTATAGCGTTAATTTTTTTTATTTTGTTTGCAACGGTTTTGCTAATTTTATTTTACAAGAACCTTCTTTTTATATGTTAAAAAGTGAAAAAGCCGTCAGCTTGACTTATGTGGTTTTGATTTAGGCATGAAATATATTTTTATAAAAAAATAACGAAAAAAGTTTAATTTGAAAAACGTTGCAAACATTTAAGAAAAAACACAATGCACTCACTTTTGATCGCCAGAGCTCAGATAACTTACAATAATTATAACAAGAGATTATCGGCAAGGTTTATTTCTCGATTTTTGCTTTTTTCCTTTTGTTTGCTTATTTTTATTATGACCAAATACCTACTTCCGGCTTTTTCCAATAGGCATAAACTGCAGTTAAGGCATGGAGGAAATGAAATATTATTCATTAAAAATGCATGACTTGAGTTTTACAATTGCTTTAGCAATACAAACAGGTAAGAAATCGAAACCGTTTTTTTTTTTTTTTTGTAATTATTATTTCTAATCCATTTTAGGTGAAAAAATGGCGCGTCGTTTTGGAGCCAATGTACATACATAAAGAACGAGAAGAAGATTTTAACTTTTGCTATCGCTTCCTAATGACAAAGACAAACTTGAGTGCGCCTTACGTGCCAGAAGTACAGAAAAGGTATCACAAGCTGCACTGAGTCTATATGTACATATATTGGTTTAAAACAAAGACCGAAAATAACTGGTCTACATTAAACTCACTGTAACTTTTTCTATCATTAACCATTTATTTTTTACTTTTTGTAATATATCACTGATGCTTTCCATTTCCAGACAACCGGTCAGGTACGAGCATGATTTTAATTTCGACCAAACTCAAATACATTGTTTGTTGGTCCAAATAATGAGACACTTATTTTTTCTTTTGCCTCGGAAAAATTTTTCGGCCGAATTAAACGCGATTTTGTTTTTCAGGCAAAAATCTACTTTTCGAATTGACAGTGAGAATGTTTTTTAAAATGCCCATAACTTTGTCAAAATTTAATAGATTCCAACAATGTTTTTACTCAAATGTCAGTAATTCTTGTCACTTCAAGATAGAATGATACAATTATTGATTTTCATTATTTAAAATTTTTTATTTAACAATAAACAAAAAGTGCATATTTTTTTTTAAACTTAATTTCTCAAAAAGTGTATTTTTTTTCTCTCAAACTTTTTTACCGGGAAAGAGACACTTTGAACTACAATCAACCCAAATCTCTAATAGCGAAGATTTTTTTTTTCTGAGTTATGATATTTTATAGAAAATATACGTCTTTGTGGTACATACTACAATATTCTTATATTGTTTAACTAAATGGAACATATGTATGTAATACATATATCAGCAAAAAATACAGCCGTGATCATTTTTTGTGTATCAAATAGATATTAGAACACACTTTCCACCATACAGTTTCGAAATACAAAATCACATTTTCCCGCTTTTTATAATCGAAACTGTATGGTGGAAAGTGTGTTCTAATATCTATTTGATACACAAAAAATGATCACGGCTGTATTTTTTGCTGATATATTACAAGACAAGAATTACTGACATTTGAGTAAAAACATTGTTGGAATCTATTAAATTTTGACAAAGTTATGGGCATTTTAAAAAAACATTCTCACTGTCAATTCGAAAAGTAGATTTTTGCCTGAAAAACAAAATCGCGTTTAATTCGGCCGAAAAATTTTTCCGAGGCAAAAGAAAAAATACGTGTCTCATTATTTGGACCAACAAACAATGTATTTGAGTTTGGTCGAAATTAAAAATCATGCTCGTACCTGACCGGTTGTCTGGAAATGGAAAGCATCCACTGTGAAAGCGTTTTATGAGAGGGAGCTTACGGTTAATGACTGTGAGAAATGGAATCGTTAACGAAAGTAAAGGCCAAGCGCAGTTGTTAATGCAATGTTTTTTTTTTTAGAAAAGGTGAGTTAGCAAATTTAATTATGGTGCAGGGTAAATATATGAAGAAAATGCATCGAAGTAAAACAAACTATAAAGAATAGCAAGTAAAACTATTTTTGAAGTGAAACTTCTTTAGCGGCGGTTGGGAGTAAATTGGCAACTTCAACGGAAATGGTGCAACGGATATGGTTGTGGCTGAAACAAGTGCTTCTTGAGTATATGCACATTAGGGTGGTCCAAAAACAGTAAAGTCGAAATTGTAATGCTCTCACCCCCTAGGATTGTTCTATATCGAAAAAAGTATACCCCTATTTTTTTATTTTGAAATCAAAAAATATTTAGAGGTCGCTCAAATTGCTCTAAGTTTTCCATGTATTTTTATATGGGGAAGAAACAACTTTTTGTAGAAATGGTATAGATTTCTTGAAAATCAATATTTTTCGATCGGAAAACTCTGGTTCTCTTCAGGAGACTTTCAATAATAATACCCAATTATTTATTTAACCATTTTTGAATACTAACGATTTTTTATTTGTCCCCGCATTGCATTTTTCGGAGCTTTTCGGGTTGTTGGGGGACCAATAAATTATAGTTGCGATGAAAAAATTGTTAAATAAACAATTAGGAATTATTATTGGGAATCTTCTGCAGATAAAAAGAGTTTTCCGATAGAAAAATATTGTTTTTTTAGAATACCATTTCTACGAAAAGTTTTTTTTCACCATATAAAATACAAGGAAAACTTTGGGCGCTTTGAGCGACCTCTAAATATCTTTTGATTTCACAATAAAAAATAGAGGTATATTTTTTCAGTATAGAACAATCCTAGGGGGTGAGAGCATAAAAATTCCGACTTTACTTTTTCACATGCATTTTTGGACCACCCTAATGCACATGGTATTAATTTAATAAAAACTTGCTAATAAAAGGTTAAAGAATAACACATAGAAAAAGACCAATACAAGAATGAAAGTAAAGGTGAGTACGTACAAGTTAAAGAAAAGGATGAAGGCAAAGGTAAAAATAAAAACAAAAAAAAAGATGCGTAAAGATAAAAGCAATAATGAAGCTCAAGGCAAATTTAAAAACTTTACTTATACAGGCAAAGGTGAAGGGGAATATGTTGATGTAGAAAATGATAAACATAAAAGTAAAAACAAAAATAAATATTAAGAAAAAGATGAGGATGAGGATACCGATAAAAGTAAAGATGAAGATAGAAAAAGAAAGATTGAAATAAATGTAGTAGTTGTTGTTATTTCCGATCGGTTTGTATATGTTTAATCAATTTCCTTGATGGGCTAGT